TGGAGGGGCCACCTAAGCTCTGCACAAGGAATTCCTCCAGCTCTGTAGGTGAGCCGGCCGCGGGCTGAATGGGCAGGAAGCCGGGCGGGGTGAGCGCCACCGCCTTGGAAAGGTTACGTGTCTGTTACCTGTGGAACCCGGGAGGAGGCCTTGAGGATTTATGCTCTGGGCTCGGGGGGGATCATATTGCAGAGCCGGCTGACTCCGGGTACCCACAGTGCGTTTTCTGGGACCTGAATGACTGTTCTCTTGACCCGTTTAAACGATCGAAAACAAATTTGCCCTTTCTCTCTTGCGTCTTCTTTAGAGGGTATTTTCTCTGTATATAATTGCAAGCTGGGTATCAGCTGACAACAATTTAGTGGTGGGATTATCAGCTTTGCCAGCCTTACACAAAAAGATGCCATTTATCTTTCTGATATATTGGGATAATATTTCGATTTCAAAAAGCTTTCTTGGCCTGGCGTGGTGGCAGTCGCCTGTAATCCCAGCTACTCGGGAGGCTGAGGCAGGAGAGTCGCTTGAACCCGGGAGGCGGAGGTTGCAGTGAGCCGAGATGGCGCCATTGCACTCCAGCCTGGGCGACAGAGCCAGACTCTGTCTCAAAAAAAAAAAAATTTCTTTCTCTTTATTTATTTATTTTGAGACAGGGTCTCCCTCCATCATCCAGGTTGGAGTGCAGTGGCATGATGTCGGCTCACTGTAACCTTCATCTCCTGGGCTCAAGGGATCTTCCCACTTCAGCCTCCCAAATAGCTGGGATTACAGGTGCGTGACCACGCCCAGCTACTTTTTGTACTTTTCCTTGGTAGAGATGGGGTTTCACAATGTTGGCCAGGCTGGTCTCCAACTCCTGGCCTGAAGTCTTCCGCCCACCTCGGCCTCCCAAAGTGCTGGGATTACAGGCGCGAGCCACCACGCCCGGCCCCTCAAAAGCTTTTGGTATACATTTTGTAAATCAAGTAAACGAGTAATATTCAGCTACTTTTCTTACTGCAATTTGAATTTGAGTTTACTGTTTTGGGGAGTGGGCTGAGTGAAACGTGTAAGTGGGAGAGGTTCTGTCATCCAGAAAAAAATCCTTTTTTTCCTGTGAGAATACAGTAAAGAATTTTGAAATCTTGTTTGTGACAGTACATATATTCACTAAATTACTAAAAGCACTTCATAATCTGCTTTATATGGCAGATGCTTTTGTTCTTGAGAATATACTTGTTTATAATTTTAAATATAATTTTGTGATTATCAATCCCTTGAAAGTTATAACTTTTCCTTTGCTATGGGTGTTTGTAAGCACTTCTCAAGTAAATAGATGACTTGTGTTAATGCTACCAAGTACTTGGCAAACTCTTTTTGTGCAAAGTAACCATTTATAAGAAGAAATTATAAAAACAAAGGGAGAAAAGAGTGTGAGTGGTCAGTTTTAATTTCAAAGCATTTAGGTTTAAAAGTTATACATTACCCCTCATAGGCCAGGCACGATGGCTCAGCCTGTAACCCCAGCACTTTCGGAGGCCAAGGCGGGTGGATCACCTGAGGTCAGGAGTTCGAGACCAGCCTGGCCAACATCTGTCTCTTATACACATCTAGATGTGTATAAGAGACAGGTCTCGATCTCCTGACCTCGTGATCCGCCCGTCTCAGCCTCCCAAAGTGCTGGGATTACAGGCTTGAGCCACCGCGCCCGGCTAGTGGCGGTTTTTGACTTGATGTATTAATACTTAGGGCTGAGGAACGTGGTCCGTGGTTCATGACTCTTAATATCTAAGGCCACTAACCTGCTGCAGCTGTCTCTGAGGCCAGCGTCTCCTGAGAACTTGTTAGATATGCTAGGGTACCTTACAGGGACTTGGTTTTCCACACCCTAATGTGTCAGCCATTCTTTGGCTGTTCTTCACTGTATCGGGGACCTTCCCCTCGCCTTCATCGCCTGGCAGTCCCATGGGCTGCATTTTACGGCGGAAGAGGCAAGGGACAGGCCTAGGCCTCGGCTCCAGTCTGATCCTTTGGTCCGGGTGCAGATAAGTCCGCCTGGACCGAACTCCGGAAGTCCCCCGGTGAGGTGGCAGCCTGGCTGCCTCTGTGGGCTGCAGTGATCATTAGCGAGGTGCCCAACAAAAGGGAGAACGCACAGTGCACAGCACAGATGCCAAGTGGAAGGGAGGTGGGGCTTCGCCGCCCCGTGCCTCGCGTTTACTGTCCCATAGCCAGGCCTCGTCAACCACGTGCACAGTCCCCTAATTTTGGGACTAATGCTCCTCTGAGGTAAAAACCCTAAAAACCGGGGGCGGTAAGCCTAGATTTCTCTTTCAAATTGTAGCTTTCTTAAAAATCTTGCATCCAGGACACCAGCCACCCTATTGTCCTTGGCAATCTGGGGCACCCGCGGAAGCGTTAAGGCTCCGTGCAGGGGCCGTGGGCGTGTCGGCCGGAAGTCCCTCCCACGGACGTGGGCCTGGACTGCTGGGCGGGAAACCCTAGCGAGCGTCGTGGCAGGTGGGCGGTGATGAAGAAAGGGAGGAAGCCCCCGCTTGAGGGTAGACGCCACGGCCTTCGCTCCCGCGTGTTGGGGCCCTGCCTTCCTGCGCTTGGAAACTCCGTATGTTGGCGCCTGTGGAAGGCGGGTTGGGCCGGCCAGGATGTCTTACAGTCCCGTCAGGCCCTTCTTAGCTCACGTGAGAAGAGTCGAGTTGGGGGAACGGGGCCTTTATGAGTAGGTGCCAGGCCCCAGCTGTAGTCCCCACAGCCTTTGGCGGGAAGAGACAGTTATCACGAACCATTTAGAGGCGTGTAGAGCCTGGCAGTATTCGCCCCTATTTCACTTCTGACTCCCCAGGCGCCTCCCCTGGTGACTTTGATGTGTGGAGAGGGTGGGACCCACCGTTGAGGTCTTTTCTCAGAGCCAGGGCCAGGCGGCATGTCCCACAGCACCTGAACGGCGAGGGCCTGCTGAGGGGGCTGATGGCTCTCGAGCGGCCCGCGCCGCTCACCAGTGCCCTGCTCCCGCACAGGACTTGCGAGCCGTGGTCAGAGAGGAGCCTGGAGGGGCCACCTAAGCTCTGCACAAGGAATTCCTCCAGCTCTGTAGGTGAGCCGGCCGCGGGCTGAATGGGCAGGAAGCCGGGCGGGGTGAGCGCCACCGCCTTGGAAAGGTTACGTGTCTGTTACCTGTGGAACCCGGGAGGAGGCCTTGAGGATTTATGCTCTGGGCTCGGGGGGGATCATATTGCAGAGCCGGCTGACTCCGGGTACCCACAGTGCGTTTTCTGGGACCTGAATGACTGTTCTCTTGACCCGTTTAAACGATCGAAAACAAATTTGCCCTTTCTTTCTTGCGTCTTCTTTAGAGGGTATTTTCTCTGTATATAATTGCAAGCTGGGTATCAGCTGACAACAATTTAGTGGTGGGATTATCAGCTTTGCCAGCCTTACACAAAAAGATGCCATTTATCTTTCTGATATATTGGGATAATATTTCGATTTCAAAAAGCTTTCTTGGCCTGGCGTGGTGGCAGTCGCCTGTAATCCCAGCTACTCGGGAGGCTGAGGCAGGAGAGTCGCTTGAACCCGGGAGGCGGAGGTTGCAGTGAGCCGAGATGGCGCCATTGCACTCCAGCCTGGGCGACAGAGCCAGACTCTGTCTCAAAAAAAAAAAAATTTCTTTCTCTTTA